CTGTGGAACCTAAGGGGTTAATTCTCCACATTGTATATAAATGATGTTTGATCCTGACTCCTCTGATCCTCCCCTTCTTCTACCGTCTCCAATCCATCTCCTGATAGAACAGAGCATTGGGACAAGTTGCACATGCTCAGTTTGGTGTGTATTGCTAGAGAATTTTTTTTTTTGGTTCTTGGGAGAGTGCATTTGATCAGCACAGGGTCAGTTAGCACTGTCCAGACAGAGGGTCAGGGGTTATGCCTCAAAGGACAATCAAAAGAGAATGAAAACTCCTCCTACAAGCTTTAACCAGTGCTCTGCTATACACTGATAGAAGTCACAAGACTGCTCTAACTGCTGATGAGAAAAGGTATATAGCAGTTTAAATTTATTAAAATAATTGTATTTCCATGTTCTGTGTACTGTGGGAGACCAAATATAGTAAATGCAGGGTCCTGGGTTTAGTAACACATTAAACATTACTAAAATTGCTGCTCCCCATAAAACAAAATTTTGGCTTTGGAACATGTCCCCCAGGGCAATGGCCAGCCTCCCATGTCCTTGACGTCAATGGATTCAGCACAATGGGGTTGGCCAAACTCTGCATGAACCAAACCCAGGTGTATTCAGCTCATCACTAGTAATTATTTACTGAACTGACCCAGCAGCATCTCTATTTGCTCAATACATACAGTTGTGTTCAAAATAATAGCAGTGTGTTGAAAAAAGTGAATAAAGCTCAAAATCCTTCTAATAGCTTTTATTTCCATACACACAAATGCATTGGGAACACTACACATTCTATTCTAAATCAAAACATGAAGAAAAATATATCAAATTTGTGTTTTTCCTCTAAAATAATTGAAGAAAAGTGAATATTAGACGCTTCAAAAAAATCGCAGTGTTTGTATTGTTCTTTACAAACTCAAACATTCACTATATAAACTGAAAAATGTTTGAAGATTTTGCTTTCCTTTGAATCACTTAATGAATATTTGGTTGTAGTCGCACTGTTTCTGAGAACTGCTGTACATCTGTGTTGCATGGAGTCACCCAACTTCTGGCCCCTGTGATCAGGTATTCCAGCCCAGGATGATTGGACTACATTCCACAGTTCTTCTCTATTTCTTGGTTTTGCCTCAGAAACTGCATTTTTGATGTCAGCCCACAAGTTTTCTATTGGATTAAGATCCGGGGATTGGGCTGGCCACTCCATAACGTCAATCTTGTTGGTCTGGAACCAAGATGTTGCACGTTTACTGGTGTGTTTGGGGTCTTTGTCTTGTTGGAACACCCATTTCAAGGGCATTTCCTCTTCAGCATAAGGCAGCATGACCTCTTCAAGTATTCTGATGTATTCAAACTGATCCATGATCCCTGGTATGCGATAAATAGGCCCAACACCGTAGTATGAGGAAACATCCCCATATCATGATGCTTGCACCACCATGCTTCACTGTCTTCACAGTGTACTGTGGCTTGAATTCAGTGTTTGGGGGTCGTCTGACAAACTGTCTCCGGCCACTAGACCTAAAAAGAACAATCTTACTTTCATCAGTCCACAAAATGTTGTGTCATTTCTCTTTAGGCCAGTCAATGTGCTCTTTGGCAAATTGTAACCTCTTCAGCACATGTCTTTTTTATAACAGTGGGACTTTGCGGGGGCTTCTTTCAGATAGCTTGGCTTCACATAGGCGTCTTCTAATTGTAACAGTCCTCACAGGGAACTTTACACCTTCTTTCATCTTCCTGGAGCTGATTGTTGGCTGAGTCCGCGCCATTTTGGCTATTCTTCTATCCATTCGAATGGTAGTTTTTCGCTTTCTTCCACGTCTTTCAGGTTTTGGTTGCCATTTTATAGCATTTGCGATCATTTTAGCTGAGCAGCCTATCATTTTCTGCACTTCTTTATATGTTTTCCCCTCTCCAATCAACTTTTTAATCAAGGTACGCTGTTCTTCTAAACAAAGTCTGGAACGACCCATTTTACTCAGAATTTCAGAGAGAAATGCGTTGTAACCAGCATGTACAACATTTGCTGCCTTCCTTCCTTAAATAAGGGCAATAATTGCCACCTGTTTTTCAAAGAATGAATGACCTCACTAATAGAACTCCACACTGCTATTATTTTGAACATGCCCCTTTCAATTAGTGATTCAATTACGCAGAATCAGCAGCATGCATGTCATGACTGTTGGGTCTGTTGGATTTCTATTACTCTACTACACCTGCTAGTAAATTATTTGCCATGTAGGAATATTTCTACCAAAAACAGTGATTGATCCGGTTAGTGATGTCTGACTGCTATTATTTTGAACACAACTGTATGTAGGTCAAGCATGCTTAGAAAATTACTTAGAACCCCAAAAAATATGATATATTTTCTGAATGCAGAGGCCCTGGAGAATAAAATAGTGGATGTTGCGTTTTTTCTGTCATGTGATATTTAAGGCAGCCATTTATCAAAAGGCAAATTTGCTGAAAAAGATACTATAAAATGAACTTTAGTGCACACAAACACAAAATAATACCCAATGTTTGGTAAAATATAAAAGATGACATTGTGTTGAGTAAATAGATACCAAACATTTAAACCTGCATATGCCAGTAAAATGGCAATAAACTACAATACCCAAAATTGTCCATAGGTGACCGTTTAAAAGCATTTACAGGTTATCAGTTTAGAGTTAATCATGAATTAAGACCCTAGAATGATTGCTCTCACTCCAATGTTTGCGGCGTTACCTCACATGTCTGTTGAAATCACCATTTACACATACGTGCTAGACCTATGCGTTCATTTGCACATACTGTATGCACGGGGGTACAAGGATGCCGTTTATTTTTTAATGAATATTATTTTATTTGATTTAAAAAAAAATTAAATGAACTCTATTGCTATCACAAGCCCACTTGTGAACACTTTGGGCAGATACTATTTATGGAGACATCAGGGGTCTATTAGACCCCTGATGTCTCCTCTGCCCTCCAAAGCAACTAACCAAGCACAGATTGTGCTTGGTTAGATGCTGCCCTGGCTTGTAACAGTAAGGGAATGACAGCTCTGAAACCGGAGTTGACAAAATCCCCTTCGCTTCCGGGTGCATTTGTTACGGAGGAGATGGGGGAGTGGTTGTTCCTCCATCTCCTCTGCAGGGAGCTGTCCTGACCACTTACCATGGTCCCATGCTCCCCTGGGGGAATGGAAGAGCCTGGGAACCACTGCAGGCAGTGACATAATGGTGCTTAAAGCTTGTTAGAAATTCTGTATATAGAACAGACAGTGCACAATCCACGTGTTTTTCTGCTTTACTGCAAGAAGAAAACAGGAAACTTTTTATTCAGAGAAAAGTCATAGATTATACCAGTGGTCACTAAATGGTGGTGTCAGGATTCTAGGTATGACCAGAAGTGTGTGGACTGACACAGGGAAACGCAGGCTTCAGGTATAGTAAACAATATAATTTATTAAAGGTACAACACAAATACAAACGCACAATATAACAAAACCAAACCTCCAACTGATAACAGAATGTACACAGACAAGGGCAGTCAGGGCTGGTGAGGTGGAGTGGTCAGGCAGGCCGAGCCCACAGCACGGATTTCCTCAGGGCGCGGGGTCTAAGTCCCAGCCTGCTGTTCACCAGGGCCCCTGATGGTGGGGATGGACTTGGTGCAGACTGGAACCAGGTCGCGACGCCTGAGTGCGTCCGGCTGTGGTAGAGAGTACTGGCAGGGGAGTGTGGGAACGGAGTCTGATGGGAAGAGGCAGGCAGACTTACTGAAGTGATCCGTGCGGGATGGATGGATCGTCGGGTGAAGTGAGCGTAGTCAGGCAGGCCGGGTCGGTATCGTGCGGGCAGCGAGGTACAAGGAGCAGCAGAAGCGTAGTCAGGAATAGCCGAGGTCAGGACAGGCAGAGTTCATGCAGAATCAGGATTAAGCAGAATCAGGATCAGGCAGGAAGCAGACAGGATGCAGGTACAGGGGCTCATGGGAAACATACACCAAGGCCCTGAACACAGGCCTGGCCATTCCTTAAATACACCTGGTTAATTAGTTTCAGGTGATGGCTCATTGTAGGAGTGAGCCTCTGGTTGCTGAGAGCACCCGCTGGCCAGCCCTGGTACTACAACCCACAAGGCAGGTGAGTCCCACCACTATTGGCGAGTCCATTCCTGACAGTACCCCCCCCCCCCTCAAGGAGCGGCCTCAGGACGCTCCAAACAGTCCTAAATGGGCAAAATGTTCCACCGCCAGGGTCCGGTAACTGGCGGGATATCAAGGACTGGCACACCAGGCTGCGCAGCGGGCAGAGGCACATCAGGTTGGGCACCGGACAGGGGCACGTCAGGCTGGGCACCGGACGGGCACGTCAGGCTGGGCACCGGACAGAGGCACATAAGGCTGAACACCGGGCCACCAGGTGGAGCAGCGGGCACCAGGCCACCAGGCGGAGCAGCGGGCGCAGGGCCAACAGGCGGAGCAGCGGGTGCCGAGTCATCTGGCAAGACTGCAGGCGCCGAGTCATCTGGCAAGACTGCGGGCACTGAGACATCTGGAAAGACTGCGGGCGCCGAGTCATCTGGCAAGACTGGGGGCACGGAGTCATCTGGCAAGACTGCGGGCGCCGAGACATCTGGCAAGACTGCGGGCGCCGAGACATCTGGCAAGACTGCGGGCATTAGGGCTTTAAGCTCGACAGCGGGCACCAAGTCATCTGGCAAGACTGCGGGCGCCGAGTCATCTGGCAAGACTGCGGGCGCTGAGTCATCTGGCAAGACTGCGGGCATCGGGTCGTCAACCTCGACAGCGGGCACCGAGTCATCTGGCAAGACTGCGGGCACCGAGTCATCTGGCAAAACTGCGGGCACCGAGTCATCTGGCAAGACTGCGGGCATCGAGTCATCTGGCAAGACTGCGGGCATCGAGTCATCTGGCAAAACAGCGGGCACCGAGTCATCTGGCATCAGGGTATCAGGCTGAATTGCGGGTGCCGGGGCACCAGGCTGAACCACGGAAGGGTACATTTTATGTTAAGGGGCACTCTGACAAGCACATTTTATGTTAAGCGGCACTCTGATGGGCCCATTTTATGTTAAGGGGCACTCTGATGGGCATCTTTTATGTTAAGGGGGCACTCTGATGGGCACATGTTATGTTAAGAGGGCACAAATGGGCACATACTTTGGAAAGGGGCAGTCTGATTGGCACATGTGATGGAAAGGGGCAGTCTGATGGGGAATATGATGTAAAGGGGCACTCCGATGGGGAAATATGATGGAAAGGGGTACTTTGAGTGTAAGGGGACACTCTGAAAGGAATACCTGATGTAAGGTAGCACTGTGATGGTGATACCTGATGTAAAGGGGCAGTCTGATGGGGACAACTGATGTAAAGGAGCACTCTGATGAGCACACCTGATGTGATGGGAATACATGATGTAAAGTTGCACTCTGATGGCGACACCTAATGTAAGGGAGCACAGTGATGGGCACACCCTAGTCGGACCTCGGCCAGAAGAAAATTTTAGTGACCAGATCTCCTTGAATTTTATTCAGTACCCCTGAAATATACCATAGATGCTGCAACAAACCTTTAAACACTGCCATCTACTGGTTGAAGAATATATATCTGCTGAATAATTTGGCTGTTGCTCAAAATACAGGAGCATGGTATTCCAACAAAGCTGAACAAAAAATCCTTCTTTGCAGTGGCACTCCCTCCACACTGAAAGGACTTACCAGAAAAAGCCAACCTGATCTGTTTTAAGAAGGATCCACTACGCTTTGCACAAGTTTCTCTGTAGCCATACAAGGCTCAATTTTCTCTTGTTCATCCAACAGTCATTGGACAGTCAATGGATTCCCCCATCTGTGCTAATAGAGTGGATCGAGGAATCCTTACTGCTGGCTATTGTAGACAGCAGGGTTTCTCAACCTGGGTCTCATGCATCCCAAGGGTTCCTCCAGAGGTTGCTAGGGGTTCCTTGAGCAATGAGCAATTTCTGCCTCTCAGATACATTCCCACTGACACCATTGATCTTTTTAGCTACCTGTAAGGGGGTAATTCTTCCCAATGATCACAAATGTAAGGAACATTCTTCCCACTGACCATCACACTAATGTATCATGAGCTGTAAATATAGTCATCTTTAGTAGGGGTCCTTGAGACCGGAAAGTTCTTTCAAGGGTTCCTCTGTGTTGAAAATGTTGAAAAAGGTATACAAGAATCTGCGGCACCCACGGCTGCCTTACTACAATGGCCTGGTCCAATAGGATGCCATCACTAATCAGCCAAAAAATTTCACCCAGCTCAGCTGAATTTTTAAACTGCCTTTTGTCAATTGCAGGGCCACCCACAGCTCAAATTCTGGCCACTACAGCAGAAATCAGCTGAAAATCAAGCTGTCCATGGCCTCCAATCTACATAGCAGCCCCCTGCTTCCAATGTACATTGCTGACCCTCTGATAAGCCTGAACTCTGCAAACAATCTGCATTCAGAGGAGCCCCATTCAATGAGCTCTGATTGTGCCCCCTGGGGGTCAGTGACTGCTCTGCTATCAGGTGTCAGTTAAATGATAACATAGGATGAAGTGTAACATTGTGACATGGCCCAATGCTCTTATAATATCACTGACACCTTGGGCCTAGGATACTTCTAATTGCTGCCAGCAGACCTCCCTCTCCACTTGTGACCGGGTGACTGCGAGGTCATGAACCAGTGACCCTGGGGGTCAGGGTTAGGGCTCAGACAGTCTTTCATGTGGCTCTGTGGGGGTCTCTTGAGGAACTGGCCAGTTTATCAGCCTGAGGGCAGAGATAATGGGGGAGTATCTGCATGCTTTTATTCTGAGCCTCTATCTGCCCCCATTTGTACATATCTCTACATTCAGAATGGCACATAAGGACAGTGTGCTGTGTAGGTATCGGAGTTTAATGTGCTTGTCTACATATACTGATGCTTTTGTATGTATGACACTATGGCAAAGCTTGTACAGGTTTTTTTTTTTACAAGCCTGTAGAGTAGAACTATGAGCAAAAAAAAAAAATATATATATATATATATATATATATATATATATATATAGCAATAATACAATAATATTGCACTCTTTGTTTTTTGAGTCTCCCTGCAAAAGTGGCAGTTGGGACAAACCATATAACACTGGCAGCGATGCTTACAGCAGTCCGTTTTTTATGTTCATACAGTTTAATCTTTTTTCTTTTTTTTTTTAAATAAAGAAAAAGAAAATAAATCTGTTACTGCAACTGCTTAAAAAAATGAAGGTTTTAACCTTTTTGCTACCAAAGCCGTTTTTGCATTTTTTTGCACACATTTAAAATTAAATTTTAGGCCTGATGATAACATAAACCTCCAAAACACTGTATAGTTTCTGAAAGAAGACACCCTGGAGAATAAAATAGTGGTAGTTCTAATTTTCTATGTCACACGATATCAGCACAACGGTTTAGGATACGCAAACTTTCAGTAAAAGATGCGCTAAAGTTAATGTTAAAGCGGAGTTTCACTCACCCTGTCAAAAAATAAAAGTCGGCAGTTACTAAAACTGTAGCTGCTGACTTTTAAAAACCGGCCACTTACCTGTCCCTCGGTCCCATGGTGTGTGTCCAGCAGCCCGTTTCACTGGCCTCCCTGTATTCCAGGCCATCATCTTCAGTGTGGGCACCCGGCTGTGATAGCTTGTGGCTTCACAGCCGGGTACCCACTGAGCATGTGCGAGTAGCGCTGCACTTCATGAATGGTCCTGTAGTCTTCTGGGACCTGTCACGTGTCCCAAAAGACTACAGGGAGGGTGGGAGGGAGGACACCTTCTGCTTCCGATCGCCTAGCGATCAGACCGGAAGTGGGAGTGGGTACCTGTCAAATTCGGGTACCCACCCCACAAAGGTGCCAATCCTTAATGGGGAGCAGTCCTTAAAGCGGAACTTCCCATTTTGGGTGGAGCATTTACACATAGTATATTACCCAATTTTTTTATAAACTATAAAAGATGAGGTTGCACCATGTAAATAGATACCTGACATATCAAGCCTTAAAATTGCATGTGCCTGTGAAATGGCAACAAACTTCAGTTCCCTATATTTTCCGTAGGCGATGATTTAAAATCTCCTACAGGTGATCAGTTTTGATATAACCATGAATAATCGGTCACTCCAGCATGCAGTGATATGAAAAGGTTTTCATATGCAAGCACCCCCCACACATGCATTTACGTTCATACATGTGTATATGTGAGGTTGGGGGGTCAAAAAATTGTTTTTGGGGGGGATTTTAAGTGCTTGAGTGTAACTTTTATATTTTACACCTTTTATTACATTTTTTTTTTTACTACTGAACTTTTTTTTCATCACATAGGGGGCAAAAAGTCACCTAGATGATGCAGTTTGTGGTGACAGGTGTGGAGTACAGATCACACTTCATTAGCTTCTTCCCCAGCCATACTGGGGAAAGTGACACCAGAACTTAGAAGTGATGGAAACAGGACAGGGGCACTTGCAGGAGAGGGTGTGTGAACGACACATATGTAGGTGAGCAAAAGCAATCTGGTGGCTGCACAGCCACCGGATCACTTCCATCTGATAGCCAACATTGCTCTGTCACACACTCCCTGCATCTGCAGCCGCTGGGTATGTGTGTAAACGCCCCTGTCGGTGGCAGTAAAAAGGTTACAGTAGTATCAAACCCACAGTGTTTTTTTTTTAGTTTAACACATTAAGCACAAAAAATAGACTTTCCCCAGTAGACTATTTTTTTAAATTCTCACCCCAGCACTTGCAGTTTGCAACTTTCAGTGCTGCTGGCTCCTGCCCTCCCAGCACTGCTTTCCTGAACGTCCAGTCTGCACAGGAAAGAGTCAACAGTGGACAGTGCAGACTAAAGCCAGTCTGTTAGCTTGGAGAAGGAAGAGGGGAGAAACAGGGGTGTGTCTTGCCATCCCAGGCCATGGGGCTGTGTGTTTCTATTTATTCACTAAACCAGCATATTGCACTGCCCCCCTTACCGCCTGGCAAAGGGACACCAGCTAATGCCCTAAGAATGCGTCTAGCATGAATGGGCCCTTAACCCCTTAACCCCTTTTAAGGGGTTTCTGATGCCGGGAGATGGAATGGGGCTTCTGATTATGTGACTACTGTGATTGGCTGTCTCAGCAGTCACGTGATCGGAAAGCTCTCAATCACAAGTAGTGATCAGGAGCTTTCCATTAGCTGCTGTTAAGTGTGCGGGAGTGCGCAGGGCAAGCGTTCTCAGCACAGCTGTGTTTATATTCTGTTACGCATATATATTCGGCTTCTCAGAGTTAAGGCCCACCCGCCGAGAGGCCACATTATATGCATACTTCCATTTGTTTGGAACAAGCAGTGCAAATTAGCAACATGCGCATTGCTCTATACCCACTACACATCTCATAGTCCATTTTGTGAGTGAGCAAGAGTGGCTACATTCCTACAGTGGAACTATGAAGAGTGAACGTAGCCACCCTAAACAGGAAGTCAGATCGCAGCAGCAAAAACAGTATTTTGAAGATTTGGAGGACGCTGAAAGATAGAAGGGACTTTCCTGAATTAGGAATACATACATGAATAGAGTTTATTTTTTTAAACTAGAGTTTACTGTCACATTAAATAGTCTGACAGCAGCTGGATCTCTGGACTTTTTCAGTATCACCACAGTTTGTGACAACCAGGAGTATTCCAAAGTAATTTGCGATATATAAGTTGCTGTTTAGATTATCCTGGCAGTGCGTTCTGGCCTCCTAAGAAAGGCAACTCCTTTGTATATTAGACTATTTGCTTTGGATGGACATCCTACATTCCACATATTGCTGTTTGCAGTATTCACCTAGGAAGTCTAAAACATGAAGTATTACTGACATATATATGATGCTTGCTGTTTCCAGGACACATTTATCCCCACCCAGACAGTCCATATTTCGCTTGCCCACTTTCAGCGTGGGCACACCCAAATAACGCCCACACCCTTCCAGACCTTGCCTCTAAATATGCCAGTTATGATAATAACACCCATGCCCGTCCAGAGCCTGCCTCTAAATATGCCAGTTATAATAACACCCATGCCCGTCTAGACCCCTGCCTAGACCCTGCCTCTATATATGCCAGTTATAATAACACCCCCTCTCCAGACCCTGCCTCTAAATATGCCAGTTATATAATAATAACACAGCCCCATGCCCCAGACCCTGCCTCTAAATATGCCAGTTATATAATACCCACCCATGCCCTCCAGACCCTGCCTCTAAATATGCCAGTTATATAATAACACCATGCCCATCCAGACCCTGCCTCTAAATATGCCAGTTATAACAATAACACCCATGCCCATCCAGACCCTGCCTCTAAATATGCCAGTTATAATAAAACACTTATGCCCTCTAAATCCCCGTCCGTCCAGACCCT